CTCCCTCCCTTCCCCTCCCCGGCTGTGCCTGCTCGCACCACCCAGCCCTGCAGCACCCAGTGCCCACCCACCCCCAATCACCCCTTGCCCCCGGGGCCAGGCCCTTCGCACCTCGCAGGGCCAGCAGATAAGGACTATCCCCCCATTGTGTGGAGCCTGAGCTCTTCTCCCGGCCCTTTGATCCCGCCAGCCCCCCATCAGGCTGATACAATCTCCTCCTGGTTTCGGCAGCCGGGAGGGTGGGTGCTGACTCACCGCCCAAGCGCCCGGGCACCCTTGGGGATGCTTCGCTCAGTCCCACTCCTGCGTGGCCCTGGGGTCTCTGGCTGCAGCCCAGGTGGGCAGCATTGCACCCCACTTCCCCTGGAACTGCCCAAAGGCTTACCCCTGGGGAAAAACAGCCTTGCGACCCCCTCTCTGAGGTCCCCAAATTCATCCTTCCTTTGCTCTGAGCCCAGCAGCCTCTCAGAGCACGTCCAGGCTTTTTGGGAAGCTCTAGCATTGAGTAAGACCCAGCAGCTCCTCCTGGGAAGACCCCTTCACACAGCCCCCCCCGCGAAGCTGTGTCCCCAGTGCATGTCCAGGCATGGAAGAGTCATTTGTCCTGAGACACCATGTCTGTGCCACAGACACCCCAGGACAGCCTGGGGCTGGGTGCAGGGTTTGTGCTCAGCCCCAGCCTGTCCATGCCTCAGTTTCCCCAGCTGTAAAACAGCAGGGAGGAGCAGCTGGTATATTCAGGCACTGCAGTGATCTGGGCGATACCCAAATTACCCCTTGGGCTCTGTAATGCAGAGGCCTTTTTAATGAAGCCACAGATCTGGACCAAACCATCCTCCAGGACTATCCTCTCAGCTGGGTTTGGAAGCACCAGCCCTTCCATTCCATCCACCCAGGCCAGTAGCCAAGCAAACTGTGCTGCTGTGGAGGAGCTTCAGTGTTCCTCCCAGTTGAACCCACTGCCCAGCCCTCCTCAGACAGACCTGTGGTGGAGACTGTGGCCAGCTCCTGACCATGGGACCCCCACCATGTGCAGGGCTGCAGCCCACCAGGGTGTGATTGCCTTAGGCATGAAGCTCCGAGTGATCCAGCACAGCCCGATTATGGCTTCTCCATCACCTGCCCCAGAGAGAGGTGAGCTGCAAATGAATAAAATATCATCTGTGGTCATATACTCCCTTAAAATCCTGTCTGCAAGCCAACCCCCTGCCAAAACAGCAGATGTCCATTTCTGTCCCCCCCAGCCTGCTGCCATCTCAGTGAGCTGGGGAGGACAGATTAAACAATTTCTGCTCCCCTTTTCCTAGCAGGATCCCACCCACCTGTGGCTGGGTTACAGACTGCAGAGCTGGGCCTGAGCCTGGAGCATGAGCAGGCTCCAACCGTGGGGGTGATGGACAAACACATCCTTCCTCCTCCTGGAGCATGCCCCAAAGGAGATGGATGGCCGAGCCCTGGCCATCAGTGCACAATGACCCCGTACAACAACTGGGCACCTCACACAGCCCCCCCCCCAAACTTGCCACATTGAAATGTATGTGGGGGGCACACACCAAGCAACCCCACTGACTCCCTCCACATCCCCCAGCTAAAACCATCACTGCCACAATGGGCCCCGCTCCTACAAAGGGGCCGGTTCAAAGTCAACGTCTCCCTTCCCCTCCGCCTGTATATGAAAGGGAGCAGGAATGCGTTTGAGGCCTTGGCAGGCTGGGGGGCTTCCTGGGGGGATGGAGAGAAAGAGCAGGTTGGCAGGAGGAGGGGGTCCAGCCCGAGAACAATAAATCAAAGGGAAAGGGAGTTACTGCCTAGCCAAGGATCTTCTGAAACCCTGGGCCGCAGCAGGAGCCCGGGAGGAGCAGGGCTGATGGCTGCGATTGGAGTCCTGCAGCGAGACTTCCTCTGCCTGCCGGCAGCGGGCAGGCGGTGGGGCAGGCAGCGGGGCAGGCAGCGGGGCAGGCAGCGGGGCAGGCAGCGGGGCAGGCAGCGGGGCAGGCAGCGGGGCAGGCAGCGGGGCAGGCAGCGGGGCAGGCAGCGGGGCAGGCAGCGGGGCAGGCAGCGGGGCAGGCAGCGGGGCAGGCAGCGGGGCAGGCAGCGGGGCAGGCAGCGGGGCAGGCAGCGGGGCAGGCAGCGGGGCAGGCAGCGGGGCAGGCAGCGGGGCAGGCAGCGGGGCAGGCAGCGGGGCAGGCAGCGGGGCAGGCAGCGGGGCAGGCAGCGGGGCAGGCAGCGGGGCAGGCAGCGGGGCAGGCAGCGGGGCAGGCAGCGGGGCAGGCAGCGGGGCAGGCAGCGGGGCAGGCAGCGGGGCAGGCAGCGGGGCAGGCAGCGGGGCAGGCAGCGGGGCAGGCAGCGGGGCAGGCAGCGGGGCAGGCAGCGGGGCAGGCAGCGGGGCAGGCAGCGGGGCAGGCAGCGGGGCAGGCAGCGGGGCAGGCAGCGGGGCAGGCAGCGGGGCAGGCAGCGGGGCAGGCAGCGGGGCAGGCAGCGGGGCAGGCAGCGGGGCAGGCAGCGGGGCAGGCAGCGGGGCAGGCAGCGGGGCAGGCAGCGGGGCAGGCAGCGGGGCAGGCAGCGGGGCAGGCAGCGGGGCAGGCAGCGGGGCAGGCAGCGGGGCAGGCAGCGGGGCAGGCAGCGGGGCAGGCAGCGGGGCAGGCAGCGGGGCAGGCAGCGGGGCAGGCAGCGGGGCAGGCAGCGGGGCAGGCAGCGGGGCAGGCAGCGGGGCAGGCAGCGGGGCAGGCAGCGGGGCAGGCAGCGGGGCAGGCAGCGGGGCAGGCAGCGGGGCAGGCAGCGGGGCAGGCAGCGGGGCAGGCAGCGGGGCAGGCAGCGGGGCAGGCAGCGGGGCAGGCAGCGGGGCAGGCAGCGGGGCAGGCAGCGGGGCAGGCAGCGGGGCAGGCAGCGGGGCAGGCAGCGGGGCAGGCAGCGGGGCAGGCAGCGGGGCAGGCAGCGGGGCAGGCAGCGGGGCAGGCAGCGGGGCAGGCAGCGGGGCAGGCAGCGGGGCAGGCAGCGGGGCAGGCAGCGGGGCAGGCAGCGGGGCAGGCAGCGGGGCAGGCAGCGGGGCAGGCAGCGGGGCAGGCAGCGGGGCAGGCAGCGGGGCAGGCAGCGGGGCAGGCAGCGGGGCAGGCAGCGGGGCAGGCAGCGGGGCAGGCAGCGGGGCAGGCAGCGGGGCAGGCAGCGGGGCAGGCAGCGGGGCAGGCAGCGGGGCAGGCAGCGGGGCAGGCAGCGGGGCAGGCAGCGGGGCAGGCAGCGGGGCAGGCAGCGGGGCAGGCAGCGGGGCAGGCAGCGGGGCAGGCAGCGGGGCAGGCAGCGGGGCAGGCAGCGGGGCAGGCAGCGGGGCAGGCAGCGGGGCAGGCAGCGGGGCAGGCAGCGGGGCAGGCAGCGGGGCAGGCAGCGGGGCAGGCAGCGGGGCAGGCAGCGGGGCAGGCAGCGGGGCAGGCAGCGGGGCAGGCAGCGGGGCAGGCAGCGGGGCAGGCAGCGGGGCAGGCAGCGGGGCAGGCAGCGGGGCAGGCAGCGGGGCAGGCAGCGGGGCAGGCAGCGGGGCAGGCAGCGGGGCAGGCAGCGGGGCAGGCAGCGGGGCAGGCAGCGGGGCAGGCAGCGGGGCAGGCAGCGGGGCAGGCAGCGGGGCAGGCAGCGGGGCAGGCAGCGGGGCAGGCAGCGGGGCAGGCAGCGGGGCAGGCAGCGGGGCAGGCAGCGGGGCAGGCAGCGGGGCAGGCAGCGGGGCAGGCAGCGGGGCAGGCAGCGGGGCAGGCAGCGGGGCAGGCAGCGGGGCAGGCAGCGGGGCAGGCAGCGGGGCAGGCAGCGGGGCAGGCAGCGGGGCAGGCAGCGGGGCAGGCAGCGGGGCAGGCAGCGGGGCAGGCAGCGGGGCAGGCAGCGGGGCAGGCAGCGGGGCAGGCAGCGGGGCAGGCAGCGGGGCAGGCAGCGGGGCAGGCAGCGGGGCAGGCAGCGGGGCAGGCAGCGGGGCAGGCAGCGGGGCAGGCAGCGGGGCAGGCAGCGGGGCAGGCAGCGGGGCAGGCAGCGGGGCAGGCAGCGGGGCAGGCAGCGGGGCAGGCAGCGGGGCAGGCAGCGGGGCAGGCAGCGGGGCAGGCAGCGGGGCAGGCAGCGGGGCAGGCAGCGGGGCAGGCAGCGGGGCAGGCAGCGGGGCAGGCAGCGGGGCAGGCAGCGGGGCAGGCAGCGGGGCAGGCAGCGGGGCAGGCAGCGGGGCAGGCAGCGGGGCAGGCAGCGGGGCAGGCAGCGGGGCAGGCAGCGGGGCAGGCAGCGGGGCAGGCAGCGGGGCAGGCAGCGGGGCAGGCAGCGGGGCAGGCAGCGGGGCAGGCAGCGGGGCAGGCAGCGGGGCAGGCAGCGGGGCAGGCAGCGGGGCAGGCAGCGGGGCAGGCAGCGGGGCAGGCAGCGGGGCAGGCAGCGGGGCAGGCAGCGGGGCAGGCAGCGGGGCAGGCAGCGGGGCAGGCAGCGGGGCAGGCAGCGGGGCAGGCAGCGGGGCAGGCAGCGGGGCAGGCAGCGGGGCAGGCAGCGGGGCAGGCAGCGGGGCAGGCAGCGGGGCAGGCAGCGGGGCAGGCAGCGGGGCAGGCAGCGGGGCAGGCAGCGGGGCAGGCAGCGGGGCAGGCAGCGGGGCAGGCAGCGGGGCAGGCAGCGGGGCAGGCAGCGGGGCAGGCAGCGGGGCAGGCAGCGGGGCAGGCAGCGGGGCAGGCAGCGGGGCAGGCAGCGGGGCAGGCAGCGGGGCAGGCAGCGGGGCAGGCAGCGGGGCAGGCAGCGGGG